TGATCCAATGTTAGAAGACATTAAATGGACTTCAATTTAGTGCCCTTAAACCAAGAAACAAACAAATCCAGTCAAACAGTTGAATAAGTAACAAGTATGACCACATACGTGTCAAATAAATATGTGCGCCTCCTCTGGTGTAAAATACACCATTCCCACTTATAAATTAAGGCGGATCGCAGTTTATTCAGACTGCCCCTACAACAAATGTACTTGCATGGATTATGCAATTCAAACTAAAACTGCTGAAAAAACTAAGCAGTAACAAACGTCAGTAGAAAAAAAAGTAAATTATAAAAAAAACGACGACAGTCCAAGACTACATCAACTTTCTATTAAGTGCTTCGAGCAAGTCACGAAATATTGCACAAAGGTTAAGGATTGTGACACAAAAATAACATGACATTTAAAAAAAAAAAAAAAAAAAACACTTTTAAGAGTGAAATCTGATGCTTGTTATGGGAATACTATTCAGATTGTGCACACATTAAATTAAGTGTCAGGGGAATTATTAATGAAAAAGGTTTCAAGGTGACTCCTAAAATGTGTGAGCAGGTAAAATGATTTAGTGTATTGTAACCGTCACCAAGTGGTTCTAATGTTCACCTTGGGGTTAAATGAAACACAATTACAGTACCAATGGAAACGGTTGAACATCCTTAAAGAACAAGACAAGCTAAAAGCCAAGATCTACATTATTTAAAGAGCTTTGATATGCAGATGACCTTACCTAAGTGGATGATATAAGTGTTTCTAATGCACACTACACATACTGGACGATTGAAAGTGAAACTAGTTCTGTTGTGCATCAGTGGCGTTCGATATCTATTCCTCAAGCTAACCAATCAAATGTATCTTAATGTACATTTCCCCATTGACTTGTAGAACTCACTGAAATGCAAAAGGACAGCTTACAGTTACAGATTGTGTTATTATTCAGTGGTTTAAACGGCAATTGTTATCAAAGTTGCTTCGTGAAATGTCTTTAGGACTTTCCTTCAAGTGTCTGTGTACAGGTAACATCATATGTTTTAGCAACTTACATTGGTCCATGTTTTTATAGGCCGTCTCGGAGGTGTCAAAGCCTCCAGAGGAAACACTTTCTGTAACAGCTTTTATCAAACACTGCAGATTTGGTACGAGAAAAATAATAGAAACAAAACTCAAACCAAATCTTAAAAAAAAAAAAAAAAAGGTTAATTAAAAAAAGAAAACAAACCAAACAAAACTTTCGGCAAAAAGAAATAAAATTTAATGGTTTACGTTCAAAGTGAAACTACCAAAACAAAAGAAAGGAAGAAAAAGAAAGCAAATCAAAAAATGAGATAATTAACAAAAGGCCATTCATTTCTCTTCAAACTTGAGATGAGCACTGGCTAAAACAAGTTGGTAACAGATAAGTAAACTTTGCCGTTAGAACAAAAACAAAAAAACAAAATGGCGGAGACAAAGTGATGTTGCTCTGTCAGATATACCATAGTACCTTTTCAACACAAACTTCAACATAAGGTATACATCTACCTTAAACTGGTTTGTCTGCAGTAAAAGGATCAAATCTCTCCCTGCCTTTGGTCCATCTTATTCTCATACTCATCGACTTGGGTTCATATTCAACAGGTTTCTCCTGAAATGCAACTTATATTAAAAAAGACACTTTACACGGGGATGACAGAAACATTTCCCTACAGAGTTAGTCGTGTTTTCAAATGGTTGGAGGATGAGCGAGAGTCCTGGATTAACATCAAAAAGACTGATATTCAAAGTAACCGAAAGCAGATAAGTTAAAAGTGCTTTGCTCTTAGATTGACTCGAGACGGTGAGCAGTGCTGTCGGTCTGAGTCTCCACTGGATGATCGTTTAAGGCTTCTAGCTCTACTTATGACGAGGATCCAGAACCGAGCACTGCTTTTCCAAAACAACCACTGGCAAGAAAATGTCCGTCACAATTTTTTTTTTCATCCACAAACATGTCAACACTTTGAGAACAATTTGTGCGACCTTCCTTATTTTTTGTGTGCAGTGCTCAGAACCATTAGCCGGCCTCCTTTATCTAGTCCCCACAGTTAAACATGCAACAGATACGGACAGTATTTTTAGATAATTTTCAAAAAGTTATCCGGGGGAATCATGGGATTTGACCCTCTCCACCCCCCCACTAAACATTAAAACTACTGAGTGTCTCTCAAGCCTCTAGCATGAGTATAAAAAGATGAGAAACAAAAAGCCTCAACACTCTTTTAGACAAGTACAAAGGTGCAGAAGAGTGAACATCTCTGAATACACTAAAAACCAAACAGATGTGCCAGACTTTGAAAATGCGTACTTCTGCTCTCTGCAGGTCTCCTCCATCCCTCCTCTACACCCGATTGTCCCGCTCTCTTTACTTGTGGCCCTTGCTGGTCTTAAAGGACACTTGCAGCATCTTGTCTCCGAGCCGGTAGCCGTTCAGGCTGGCGATGGCCATGGCCGCCTCCTCGTAGTTGGACATGGTGACGAAGCCGAAGCCCTTGCACTTGTTGGTGTTGAAGTCTCGGATCACCTTGACGTTGGTGACGGCGCCGAACGGGCCGAACATCTGCCAGAGGATGCTCTCGTCCGCGTCCTGGCCCAGGTTGTAGATGAAGATGCACCAGCCGGAGTTGGAGTTCCCGGGCACATTGACGTTCCCCACGCCGCTCATGTGATCAACGCCCATCGGAGAAAACCTGGAAACAAGGAGAGTTTAGAAGACTTGTGGATTCAACAATGACTCTGAACTCAAAGAGACTATTTTTTCCTAATAAAAGTGTTTAATTATATAATGACCCGTTTATGCAAACAACATGGGCTCTCCTGCTACATGACAGGACTTGACTGAAGTCTCTGCTAGTGTTAAAGGTCCCCTATTATACTGTTTTTCATCAATACATTATAGCTCTCAGATATATACAGAACCTGTCTCTGATTGGCTGAAATACCAACAGATTATTGCAGCATTACCCATAATCCCCTCTGTTTCAGCCCTGTTTCCAAAGTGCTGATTCTCTGTCTGTTACTTTAGTGAAAATAAGGAGCCCCTCCCCACGCCCCTCTGAGAGATTTGGTTAAAAAGAACTCAATGGTGCTCTAGGACAGGGGTTCCGAAAGTGGGGGTCTGGAGATCCCGATTGGGGGTCGTGAGATGATTACAAAATAAAAATAATAAAAATATTTTTTTTAAAAGATAATTTGAAAAAAAAAAGAATTATTATTAATTATAACGTTTCCATAGACATTTTTCAGGGGCGTAGTAGTGAGACAATATATGACACTGAAACTGAAAAAAAAATCTGAAATTTAATGTTCACTAGCCACCCCCCCGTCGACAGGGCGTCGCCAGTATCTGGCACTGTATTTTGGGGGTCGCGGCCCTGAAAAGTTTGGGAACCCCTGCTCTAGAGGGAGATTTCAGGTGATAAGGGGGGGGGGGGGTTACCTTTGGTGTGGTGATTGCCCTAATGGCTCTACACAAGCCCAAGCCAATTGGTTATGACAATCATAAAATGGCCAAAATCTGATCATCTCATTTTCAGACCGGTTTTTTAAGGAAATGGATCAGCGGGACAAAAAGAGAGAGAATCTTTTGTTCCTGAAACTTTCAGAGTCTCTTTACACAGAGGGGACACAATGTTGCATGTAGAAGAGACATGAAGAAGAGGGACACATGTTGATGTAGAAGCAAACATGCAAGAAGGAGGAATACATGTTTGGATGTAGCAGAGACATTGAAGAAGAGGGGACACATGTGTTGATGAGCAGAGACGTGGGAGAAGAGGACACACATGTTGATGTAGCAGAGACATGAAAGAAGAGGGATACATGTTGATGTAGCAGAGAACATGAAGAAGGGACACACATGTTGATGTAGCAGAGACATGAAGAAGAGGGATACATGGTTGATGTAGCAGAGACATGAAGAAGAGGACACACATGTTTGATGTAGCAGAGACGTGAAGAAAGAGGGTGAACATGTTGATGTGAAGAGACATTGAAGAAGAGGGGACACATGTTGATGTAGCAGAGACATGAAGAAGAGGGGACACATGTTGATGTAGCAGAGACCATGAAGAAGAGGGGAACACATGTTGATGTAGAAGAGAACATGAAGAAGAAGGGGACACATGGTTGATGTAGCAGAAGACATGGAAGAAGAGGGGACACATGTGATGTAGCAGAGACATGAAGAAGAAGGGACACATGTTGATGTAGAAAGAGACAGGAGAAGAGGGGACACCCATGTTGATGTAGCAGAGACATGCAGAAGAGGGGACACATGTTGAATGTAGCAGAGACATGAAAAAGAGGGGATACATGGTTGATGTA